GGGAAATAAGTATTTTCCTGATTTTCTGGTATGAACTATATTTTTGACTAATGAAATAATAAGGGAAGAGCTCTTTATAGCATGATCCCAACTGATAAAACTAATAAAGAATTATAGAATGATAAAGTCACCATTTACAACCCCTTAAAAAAATAATAGGCTATACAATAATTACCACTATGAAGGCTAAAATCATTAAGTGACTGATTAATAGGGAACTATGAGAATCAGGCTTACAGAGCATGAATGCAGCGATCAATTTTAACATTACCAAAAGTGATATAACCCAGGTTCGTGTATTAGACATAATATTAAATGGACAATTGATTTTCAATAAAGGTGTCAAGGTAACTCAATGGAAAAAAGGTAGTCTTTTCAACAAATGGTGCTGAAATCATTGAACAGCCACTCATAAAACAGGAACCTTGACCCCTTCCTCACACCATATACAAATATTTACTTGAAATGGATCATAGATAAGATCTAAAGCTATTAAATTTCTCAGTGAAAACACAGGAGAAAAGTTTTGTTACCTTGGGTTAGGCAAAGGTTTCTCAGATACATCCAAAGCATGATCCATAAAAGAAAAAAAAAAAAATCAATAAACTACTCCAACAAAATTTAACATTTCTGCTCTTTGAAAGACAATGTTAAGAAAATGAAATGGCAGGGACTTCCCTGGTGGTCCAGTGGTTAAGAATCAACCTTCCAATGCAGAGGATGTGGGTTCGATCCCTGGTTGGGGAACTAAGATCCCACATGCCGCGGGTCAACTGAGCCCGCATGCCACAACTACAGAGGAGCCCATGCACTGCAAGGAAGAGGCTGCACTCTGCAACAAAAGATCCCACATGCCACAACGAAGATCCCTCAACTAAGACCCCATGCAGCCAAATAAATTTTTTTTTTTAACATCTTTATTGGGGTATAATTGCTTTACAATGGTGTGTTAGTTTCTGCTTTATAACAGAGTGAATCAGTTATACATATACATATGTTCCCATATCTCTTCCCTCTTTGTCTCCCTCCCTCCCATCCTCCCTATCCCACCCCTCCAGACAGCCACAAAGAACCAAGCCGCTTTCCCTGTGCCATGTGGCTGCTTCCCACTGGCTATCTACCTTACGTTTGTTTAGTATATATATGTCCATGTCTCTCTCTCGCCCTATCACACCTCACCCTTCCCCCTCCCCATATCCTCAAGTCTGTTCTCCAGTAGGGCTGTGTCTTTATTCCTGTTTTACCCCTAGGTTCTTCATAACATTTTTTTTTTCTTAAATTCCATATATATGTGTTAGCATACGGTATTTGTCCTTCTCTTTCTGACTTACTTCACTCTGTATGACAGACTCTAGATCTATCCACCTCATTACAAATAGCTCAATTTCATTTCTTTTTATGGCTGAGTAATATTCCATTGTATATATGTGCCACATCTTCTTTATCCATTCATCCGACGATGGGCACTTAGGTTGTTTCCATCTCCGGGCTATTGTAAATAGAGCTGCAATGAACATTTTGGTACATGACTCTTTCTGAATTCTGGTTTCCTCAGGGTATATACCTAGTAGTGGGATTGCTGGGTCATATGGTAGTTCTATTTGTAGTTTTTTAAGGAACCTCCATACTGTTCTCCATAGTGGCTGAACCAATTCACATTCCCACCAGCAGTGCAAGAGTGTTCCCTTTTCTCCTAAATAAATATTTTTAAAAAAAGAAAAGAAAAGAAAATGAAATGGCAAACCACAGCTGAAGGATGGGATGAAGCATTTTTAAAACATTAAAACATGAAGCATTTGAAAAAGGACTTGTATCCAGAAAATATAAATAATACTTAAAAACCATAATCTTTTTTTAAAAATTCAGTTTTTTAAATGGGCAAAATATTTGAAAAGACACTTCACCAAGAAGATGACATATAAGTGCATGAAAAATGCACATCATAAGTCACTAGAGAAATGCAAATTAAGGTCACAATATATACTGCTACACACCTACTGTAATGGTTAAAATTAAAAAGACTGCCGATACTAGAGCTAGCAAAGACGAGAAGCAACTGGATATCTCACACATTTGCTAGTGAAAATGAAAACTGGTACAGCCACTTTACAAAACAGCTCGGAAATTTCTTATAAAGTTAAACATGCACCCACCCTATGACCTAGCAATTCCACTCCTTAGACATTTACCCAAGAGAAATGTAAGTATATGTCCACCTAGAGACCTATATGCAAATGTTTATGGGGGCCTTATTCACAAGAGTCAGAAACTGAAAACAACTCAAATTTCCATCAACAGGTAAATAAACAATTTATGATACCATCACACTGTCACATGTTATGCAAGAAAAAAATGAACAATAGATACAGGCATCAACATGAATATCTCACAAAAGCATTATGCTAACTGATAAGAGTCAGACAAAATTATACATTGCATGATGCCACTTATATGACATTCTTGAAAGGGCAAAAATATAGGGACAGGAAACAGATCAGGAGTTGTCAGTGACTGAGGGTTAAGGGAGAAGATAACTGCAGATGGCACAAGGAAACTTTGGATTGACTCAAATAGAAATGTTCTATTTGTTTATGGTGGTGATTATATGATTGTGTATGTCAGAACTCATCACACTGTAAACTTATAAAGAGTGAATTTAATGCATATAAATTTTTCCTTAATAAATCTGACTTTCAAAAACTCTTTTCTGTTTATCTCTTACCCCAGTGACACAAAAAATATTTCTCGATTACTTCATTTACTATATAATTACTGATTTCTACTGATATCCATTGGCTCTATAAGCTCTTTGAGTGGATCTCTCACTAGGATCTCTGAACTAATGCTTTCGAAAGCTAATTTGTTTTTCTTAAGCATCCTTGACCACTCTGGCACATCACTCAGTTTATTTGGTGCCTAAATCCTACTTAGTTTCTTAAGAATATTTGCTTCCCAGGTTTCAGATATGTGTGACCAGGTTATCCACAATGTCATCCCATGCAGCTGATGTGTTATCTATCCGATTGATAATTTTTTCTGGCAAGAGCTCTAAGTCAACCTGCATATGTGTTTACAAAACTACAAAAATAAAAGCTTTGAGTATTTGTTTTTGTAGTGCTTTTTTTAAAAGATAATCATTTCTTATTGATTTTATCATTAACAATGGAATATTTTAAAAAACGGAGCCAAATGATTGGCCCTGACTCATCATGTTAATTTAATATCTGAAAATATCACTGAAGATCCTTAGCAAAACTTTAACTGCTACACTTTTGTCCCTTTTCAATACTGTTGGGTGAAACCAGTGAGTTTCTAACTTTGTTCACTTATACAAGCCAGGTTTAGCAGGGTGTGCGACACCGAGTCCAGCATCTTCAACACAGTAGTTGGTTTTTGAGTATTTGAAGATCAAAGTACATTAAGAAGTCCCGCCTCTGAATTCCTTCCTCCTACCCAACAACTTTTTTCCAAGTTACATTGATCCAGTTAATTGTGATCGAACAGAAGTTGAAATTCAAGTTAAATTTATAACCAAATTGAGTGAAAGGAAGGAAAGTAGCAAATAACCTATTCAGAAAAATTTTTAAATACCAGGACTAGATTCATAGATTCATACAAAATTGCCAGATATATTTTAAACATGGGCTTGATCATGTCTGTTCTAATATGTAGATATATGACCTTATTTAAATAACTTCTTGTTTCCAAAAAACTACGCCTCTTTAATCATTCTTCTGAATTTAGTAACAGACCAAATTTTATTCTGCTCCTAGAAAACTTAAAGCCACACTTATGCCTATATAAATCAGCATGTGGGTTAAAAGGGCAGCAGTTCTCCACTTTTTTTCCACCAAAACACGAGTGACATTTAAAGTATATTTAATATTCACTGTCCAACATACTTCTCCCACTCTGGACTGCCACCCTTGGTAAGGGAGATAGCTAGTTTGCATGAAATTCCCCCATAAGATTTCTATATATAAAACTCTATATTTTCTCTCGCATCAATCCATCATACACCAGTGTCATAAAACCATAGTCAAGAACTGCTGCAGCTCAGCCTTATTCCTGGCTCTGTTTTATATCTCATACGTATTTTTCTTTCTACTTTCACTCCACTTTTATCCTTTCTTGAATTTCACATAGCCTTGTAAGTCACCTTAGATCCTTTCTAGAACAAGGTAAGGAATAAATAATCATTCCATGTATCTGCAAAAGTAATCTCTTCTCATTTACCCTAGATAAAGCCTTTAAAACTTTAACTACTTGCAGCCTCTTAACTATTCTCTACCATATTAAACATACAAGTATCAAAATCACAAGTTCCTATTTTTTGGTTTTATTAATTCTCTTTTTAAAAATACTAAGGCTGCATACAGAAAATACAGGGAAAGTATCCACACACAATTTAAGTTTAGAGGCCCATAATAGAAATTAAATTGTTTGCACAAAGAACCTGCTTGCTGCATAACTGTTGTGTCTAAAGAATGTAAAGCTTCCAGTGTCTTGTATACAGTTACTCAAATAGTAATAGCTCAGCTACAGAGAAGGAATTTTTAAGTGCTCTGATATAAAACTACTATAGCTTGGGCATTGGCACACAAGAATTTGTTTCAGCACTATTTTTAAAGCCACTAATAAATACTTCAAATACCAGAACTGAGCCTCTGGCTCAACTGAGTCTGCCTCAATTGACGTGAAAGAAAAAGTATGTAAGAGAATCACATTTTTATTTAAAACTGAAATGCCTGCTAATCTACTTGGAAAAGTATATATAAAATTGGAACTTTCATAAAGTAATTTAGAGTTTAGTGTTGTTAAAAGGAAAATTAGTTATAAAAGTAATAAATGCACAACATAGTAGTTTCTATTCATCCCATTTTATAGAAATAATGTCCTTTAATTTCCCCCAAAGTTATCTAGCCAAGTAACACATAATCTATAATTAGGATTTGCCTTATAGCAAAGTTTGATTTTAAAAAGTTTGACACTTCACTCACCTACTGCAGGACAGAGTATTATTGCCCATATACAGACACTAAACCAACTGTCTAAGCAAGTTCTTGTGTTTAGAAATTCAGTGCCACTATTATGGCTCACAATTTGGCTTATGATGCATTTGTAAGCAAACAGCCTGACAAGCACCCTAGTGTATTTCAGGATGACTGACAGGACACAGTGGCTCAAACAGGAAAGGGGGATGGGTGCTCTTAAAGCAACATACCAGTGAAAGGCAACATTAAACAGTAGAATCAGATTGAAATTATATTTTTCAAGTTTGCAATGAAATAATAACATATTGTCCAATTCAAGCTTTTAAACATAACTTTCATGTCATTATGTGCCCCAAACACTGTAAATTCCAAACAGACCTTAAGAATTTAAAATATAAAAAGAAAAAATTTAAAACAAACATGCTAAATGATACTTCCCTGTACCTATCAAACTTCTAAATTACTTAAGACTATTCCAATTATTTTTAACAGAAATTAGGTCAGGGTACCCAGAGAAAAGCAGTTCTTATTTCACCTCTAGATATTTGCCAATCACTCTTACAACAGTAATTTAACTAATAAAAGTAATTTAAATAGCTTGGATTATTCAAATCTCTTATTGAAGATGGGGGCAGGAGATATATATATTTTGTCCCTGCTGTGTTTCTTCCCTGTGACTTACTTCCATTGTTAAAAAACAGATCATTGGGTTCGGAAATTTCAATTATGGGTATTTCCATATTAGTTTCACTTGGAAAATATTTAAGTGATACATTGGCTTCATTCTTCACATTTATAATTTTTCCTATATTATCTTACAATACTCTGCACTGTTCAATCCTTTTATACAACAATCAGCCCCATTTTTTTTTTTTAATATCTACATGGAATTCTGTTATTGATTTGCTGTAATTTTTTTTTTTTTTTTTTTTTTTGGCTGTGTTGGGTCTTCGCTTCTGTGCGAGGGCTTTCTCCCGTTGTGGCAAGCAGGGGCCACTCTTCATCGCGGTGCGCGGGCCTCTCACTATCGTGGCTTCTCTTGCTGCGGAGCACAAGCTCCAGACGCGCAGGCTCACGGGCCCAGTTGTGGCTCACGGGCCCAGTTGTGGCTCACGGGCCCAGTTGTGGCTCACGGGCCCAGTTGCTCCGGGGCATGTGGGATCCTCCCAGACCACGGGCTCCAACCCCTGTCCCCTGCATTAGCAGGCAGACTCTCAACCACTGCGCCACCAGGGAAGCCCCATCAGCCCTATTTTTTTTTAAAAGCCATTCATTTTTTCATAATATTCCTAATATTTATTTATAATGCTTTTTATTTCTGTAAGGTTGGTAGTTACATCCCATTTCTGATTCTAGTAATTCGATTCTTCTTCCTCTTCCCCCTCCTCCCCCCTCCCCCTTCCCCTTCTCCTCCCCTTCTTCTTCTTCCTCCTCTTCTTCTCCCTCTTTTTCTTCGTCTTCTTCTTCTCAATCTAGCTTGCTTGGATTTCATTGGTTTGCTCTATTGCTTTTCTATTGTCTATTTCACTTATTTCCACTTTAGCCTTTACTTCCTTACTTCTCCTTGCTTTGGATTTATTTTGCTCTTCTTTTTCTAGTTTCTTAGGGTGAAAAGTTATTGAGTTGAAAGCAAAACTATGGAGACAAGGATCAGTGGTTGCCAGAGATTAGGGGAGAGGGAGGGATGAATAGGTGGAGCACAGAGGATTTTTAGGGCAGTGAAACTCTCCTATATGATACTACAATGGTGAATACATGACAATTACGTATTTGTCAAAATTCGTATAATGTACAACACTGAGAGCAAACTCTAATGTAAACTATGGACTTCAGGGAATAAAGATGTATCAGTGTAGGTGCATCTGTTATAACAAATGGACCACTCTGGTGTGGGTTGTTGATAGTGGGGGAGGCTGTGTGTATGTGGGAGCAGGGGCTATATGGGAAATCTCTGTACCTTCTGCTCATTTTGCTGTGAAATGAAAACTGCTCTAAAAAATAAGACTATTAAAAAAATCAAAAGTAATTTTTAAAACAAACCAATAAGCAAAAAACCTCACAACCTAAGGGCCAATGTCTCTACCCTAGGTCTGCAGTCCTGCCCTGCAAGATCCCTCTGTGATGACCCAGAATGTGAGGGGTAACAGGACATTCAAACCTGCTACTGCCACTATCTCTAATACTTTCCCCCAGTGAATGCTGATCCAGTTATTGTTATTATATAATGTATGCTACCAGATTATTCACATAATTTCTCCCATGCTTGATTAATTGCTTAGAAATATTCTTTTTTACTTTCTAAATTGAGGGAGAGGTTGGAGTTTCTTCTAATTACATTGCCTTATGACCAAAGAATGCTGTTTGTATGTTATTGGCTTTGTTAAGATTTGTTTCATAGTCTAATATGTAGTCATTACACACTTGAAAAGAATGTTTATTCTCTACCAGTTGAATGCAGAAATCTATATACTTTCATTAAATCAAGCCTATTAACTGCACAGTTAAAATCTCTACCCATACGAAATTTTTATTCATTTGACCTATGGATAAAATCATCTATTATGACTATGTATTTGTTAAGTTTCCCCAAGAGTTTTGTAAATTTTTACTTCATATATTTTGGGAATATGTTAAATGTATACAAATTCAGAATTATTGTATCTTTCAGGTTAATTGTTCCCTTTACCCTTGTCTAATATACTTTTACTTCCAACAAAATGTTTTGCCTTAAAGTTTAATTGGATAGATATTAATATAACTATGCCAGCTTCCCTCCTATTTAAAAAAAGGTTGATTTGAGATCTTATTCTTTAAATATAGGCTTTTGCAGCTATAGATTTCTTTGTAAGCACTGATTTAGCCTCATCCCATAAGTTCTGGTATATAGTGTCTTTGTTTTCACTCATCTTTGCATATTTCCTAATTTTCCTTCTGATTTATTCTTTATCTATTGGTTATTTAGGAGTGTGCTTTATAATATCCATATATTTGTGAATGTCCTGAATTTTCTTCTACTATTGATTTCTATTTTCATTCCATTGTGTTTGGAGAACATGTTTCATATGACTTTAACCCTGTTAAATTGATTATTTTATGGCTTCAAATGTCTTTTATTCAAAACATTTCCAATGTCCATTATTAAGTTTTAAACTTTTCAGTACAGAGGTCTTAATTTTCTTAGTTAATTCCTAGATACTTTATATTTTTCATTGAGAGGTACTTATTTTATTATGTGTTTCTTTATTATTGGTTTTGAGAAGTGCCATTAATTTTGTTCATTAATCATATAGCTGGAAAATTAGCTTAACTGTCAAGTTTGTTGGAAATGTAAGTTTATAAACCTGCTGCCATTAAAAGTGGATGACCCCTAAAGGCTACTGACCTTTTAAAAAGTCAAAGATAGTTTTGGGAAGAGGGAATTTTAGAGTCTCATTGGCCATCGAAGGGACTAGGAAGGCCTCTCCAGGGAGAGTTGTGGGGATGATTGTGTAGTACTGAGCTATACTTGTGGGAAACTCCTAGTTTTTACACATTTCCATGGAAATCAAAGCAACACTAAGCCAGATATTTGGGTTAAAAGCAGACAAAGGCAAGAGCACGTACAAGATGCAAGAAGATCCTTTTTCTATACTGTCTGATATTTATTAGTACTTTGATCAGAGACATCCAAAGTGTACCATACTGGAGGGGTTCTGGAATTCCAGGCTGTCTCTCAGACTGTAGGCTGCAAAGCTCCAGTTTGTCATACTGAAGCAGGTTTGCCCAGGAGATAAACCTATGGCTGGATCAGCAAAGATGCTAAGAGAGGAACTCTATTCTAACTGGGCCTTGTCAGTGAGAGATACTAATACAGAGAGTGGAAAGAAGAGCTGGCTATCTCGTCCGCATCAGGAAAACTGTACAGTTCCATGATTTGTGCTATGTCATAGGCATCAGAGTACAAAGCAGGAACTGAGGCCACTAGCCTCTCCAATTGAGGAGCTTGCATTTGGACATCACTTGTAGCAATCTCAGTGATGATAGAGTCCCCTGCCCAATGGAAAGGGTCTAAGGGCTGAGGTGAGTGGGAGCTATAAGAATCTGAAACTGCAGGGAGAAAAGAATGAGGACTGGTTGATGCTATGGGCACATTCTTGGCTGGAAGGACCGACTGCTGCTCTTGTTGCTGTTGCTGCTTCCTCTTTTTGAACCGCCAATTCCTGAACCAAATCTTTACTGTTGACTCTGGTAGGCTGAGTTTTAAAGCAAGTTCTCTCTGGAGGTTTTTATCTGGAAACATATTACAGCTAAACAGAACCTTCAACTCTTCATGTGTGTGTGTGTGTGTGAATGAGGTGCCTTCCTGAGGCTTCTTCCATTTTGTGGGACCAGCTGGTATCTGTGAATCAACCTCGAAGTTCATGCTGGAATCATCCATGTAGACAAAAGGGTCTGGTTGGGGATTCTCTTGGACTATTTTGTTCATCAGGGGTGCTGACATATGGCAAGGAAGGTCTGTCATGAATTCCTTTGGAGTGCCCATTTTCAAGCCCTCTTGTGTCTCTCTGGAAATGCAGTTCCTTTCCAGCCATTCATTTTTAAACGCAATCCCACATTTAGCCAGCAGAGGGTATCATCTGATTCTGAAAGGCCACAGTATTGAGTCCAATGACATTTCTTTCTATACTTGAACTAGGAACTGGGGCACACCATCTCAACTTTCCCTGTTAAATGTGTTTAGAAATATCCCATTTTATTTGTGCATATAAATTTGACTTATAGAGCCCATATTAGTGTTTAATATTTCTCATCTGTGACAAAGTCTACCATTATTTCTTCCTCTATCATCTCAATCACATGCATCAGAATTGGGTTTAATCATCACAATGACTTTGCACAACCCTAGATCTTCTGGGACAAAAAAAGCAAACAACAAAAACTCTACATAAAGATTCTAAGCCCCATTAGAAAATCCAAAAACAAATTCCAAAAAATAAAAATAAAACTGCCCTATTAAACAAAATAATTTCTCTTCAAAGTTTACATATGACATTTGTAAACTGTTTAATATTTTCTAATTGCCCTGTTTAATATTTGCTGTCAATTATATA